CATGAAAAATTCTCTCGCACATGTACAAAAATAATTGCAAATCATGTGCCCCACACTGGAGTAGTAGACTCTGCTGCAGAGGCGCTCAAGGCTGATGTGCCCAATGTAGATGGCTGAGCATCCCGTGTGCAGTTTATCAATTGGAGGCTGATTGGAGAGAAACCAACTACAGACCAGTCCTACCATGAGTGAGGGGCTGTGATTGGACTGTGTCTGGACTGTCCAGGCCCAAGGATTTTCCGCCTTCTCGATAGGGTTACAGCTCCCTGGTCAGGAATGGCGCGCAACTTGGGGGCTCTCCCATACTCACAGCTTCTGCTTGAAGAGCAGCTAGCTGCTGTGGCCAAGAGGGTGTTTGCACAACTCCATTTGGGCATCAGTTGCATCCTTCCCTGGATCAGTCAGTCCTCCAGTGACATCTCACAGCTCAATTATTGTAACATGCTCTACATGGAGCTGCCTTTGAAAATCACTCTGAAGCTTCAACTGATCCACAAGACAATGCTACAAGCAGTGATAATATTGCCTCAGCCTGTTGACACGACATCTTTCTGCTCTGTGAACTAGACTTTTTGCCTGTGTTTCCAGGTGCAACTCAAGGTGCTGGTTATTGCCCACAATGCCCTATGTGGCAGAGCCTGGTTATTTGAAAAACCATGGTCTTCTTTGGTTTCTGCCTGCATAATATGACCCAGTAGGATGCTCATTCCAAGTCTGTTGCATTCCAGGAACCAGGAAGGCTGACTTGCCCTTTAGAATAGGGCTCCTGCCACCCAAGATCTGTATGACCCTCTTCCAGCTGACTTTCTGGAAGGCCCTGAAAACCTGGTTATTTACCCAGGACTTTGGATAAGGGTGGATGGGATTCTCGTTTGTAATGTTTTATATTGGTTACTCGGACTGCCACATTACACTTATTTTGCAATTATTTTTGTACATGTGCGAGAGAATTTTTCATGTTTTGTGGGTTTTAACGTTGCTCCTGCAATCAGACAGCATTCAAACTGAATGAATAAACCAACCGCTGTTGTTTTCCTCACTCCCGGCACCTAGCTTACTCAAGATATTAAGAGAAGCTGGCTACCCTTAGCCTGTGAGCCAAGTGCAGTTCTCCAGGCCTCTTAGCTACCACTTCCAGACTCTTACAAGGCGTATTCCCCCCCCCCCCTCAGCTTTTCAAACTGGTTAATGTATTGCTTTCCCCATCCAGCTGCCTCACAACTGAAAAACTGCCCTTTGTGCAGACAAGTTCTTCAATCATATTAAATCCCCCCCCCCCAATTCCTTTTGATGGGGAAAAGAAATCCAAAAATCCCTTCTCCCAGGATCTGGATCTATTCTTCTCTACAATGAGGGTACCAAGAAAGTTCAACTAAATAATTTGGATTAGGAGGGGGAAAGGCTCTTTCTGAACTTCTAGAACCATTGCGGGTCTTGCAGGGTGATGCTTATTTGCTTGGCTCCAGTTCAAACCAGGTAAGAGTCCATCAATGCTTACGTGGTTCATAAAGGTTGTCTGAAAGTTCCCCACTTCATAGGTTAAGAAGTTATGAGAGGAAGCTTCCCAAACCCTGACACACAATTGATAAGCCAGGAGGCATATCTCAAATGTTCCTACTCTCCCTCTCCAGTCCAGATGCTGGCCTATAGGTTGGGCAAACTGGGACTGTCCGATGTATCTGAAGAATGCTAGGTTGGAAAATGGAAAACAGACCCTACATCCAGTATCATCTGGCTGCAATGCAGAAGTATGCCTATGTTTTATTTATAAATCAACAACTATTAGACGACTTTGAAATGCAGTTTAACATAATTATACTTGGCTTTCAGATAGGATTGGCAGCTGAATTATGCAAATTGATTCTTTGGAGGCAAAAAAAACCCCAAAAGCAATTTTTATGCTGGGGTTTTTAAACATGCATCCATTGCCTGATGCTGCAGTCACTCTGAGAACCAGCCTTTTTGTGCAGCTTTGTGCATTTCTCCACTGAATACCGTAAAGGATATTTAGTGTTATAGACTTACCTAAGCAGCTACAAAACAAAAGGGCTTTTTCTCCCCCCCCCCCGGAGAGCTACCCACTCAAAACGCTTAATGAAAAGACAGAGTTTGATCTCTTTTTATTTCTTTAATTGCAGTTAATACAAAGATTCCAAAAATAGAAAGAGTTCATAATGGCAACAAGTGCCAGCTTCAAGTTTTGGGATTTTTTTTCAATTAAAACATTTAAAAAACAAAACAAAAAAAAAACCAGCAAGTGAGGACATGTGATAAATTTGTACAGTTTAATGAGAAGGGAGAGGAGAAGCGAAAGCTGGAGGCTTTTTTTTCTCCTTCAAAAGCCAACAGCTTCCATTTCTTGTATGAAATGGGAGCACCAAACATGACTGGATGTAAAAAGGTACCATAACAAGCGTGGGTAGATTTGTGTGTGTATGTGTCTTTAGTGTAAGTCAGTACATGGGGCAGCCATGAAAGGCATGGCCCTGGTAAAGTGCTGGGGCCGCCTCTTGGCTGGAGTTCTACCCTCATTAACCATGGTTCAATCAAGGCACAATCCCAACATGGTAGTTTGGACCCAGGAATCCTTATGGCTCTAAAACATGATTTACAATCTTGACTCAAGAGTGGGCTTGGGCGCTTATGGGCAACATGGCAGGCGCTGCTAGATACTGAAGTCCTATTATCATCGTTTTGTTTCCCTCCACGCAGGATTGCCCAAAGGGATTCATCACCATGTCCACATGACTCTCAGCAATCCGTTTCTTTTTCCCAACTTGGTAAAATCAAATACCCCGCTCCCCAAAAATCTGCCTCATTTCAGATCAGACTTGTTTCGTACAGATCCCTCCACGCCTGGACTGCGATGTTGTTCACTGCAATTTAGAGAGGAGAATAAATGGGTTGCCTTCTTCTCTTTGTAATCCCACCCTCTTTTAAGGCTTAAAAAAGTGATTTCTGCAGCAAATGTAGATAAAGAGTATATTGGACTACAACCCCCAGCATCCCCCACCTATGACCACAACTGGCTAAGGTTACTGGGAATTGGTTTTTTCTTTTCTTTTTTCCCCTTCAGGGGGCAGCATCTAACCTTGGTCCAACAAAGGACTAGAAACCTGTTTCATCTTGAAGAAAGAGCTGGGGCAGCTGCTGGCATGAGAGGAAGGAAGGAAGAGGGGGGGGGCAATTGGTCTTCGGTTGACACAAAGCAAGAACAAAACTGTGAGAATAGGAATGGAAAACAAAAAGGTTTTGTTCTTTCCAACATTCATTAACTCTGCAAAGTTTAACGGCTCCTCCCGGCTTGTGTGCGTAAGCAGCTGCTGGCTGAACTGCAAGGGAGGGGAAGAACTTCCTTGTTGGGTGTCTGAAATTGGAAACCTATCCCTCCTCCTGCCCTCCCCCAAACACAGGAATCCAGGCCCTCAGCAAAGGAGACCAAACAGGACCAGAAAAATGAAGCCAGGGGAAAATTGGAGCAACAGGGCCCATTCCACTTCAAGAATTGACTAGAGTTTGACTAAGCATGCACACTCTCTCTCAGGAATCCACTGAAAACTGATCAGCACACTTAAAGCAAGCATGAAAATATCAAGTAGCATGTTGGTCGGTCTAACAGCTGGCTGGTCAACCAACAGCAGGGATCAATGCTTTGGTCCTGAAGTGATTAGATGACCTGCAACTTGCCCTCCACCCCTTAACCAATAAGGCAGCACCATTTTCATTTTTTAAAAAGAGCCCCATGGACTCTACCCTGCTCCCACCCCCTTTGCTACCAGCCCTACAATGGCTAAATACAGATTAGATTCTCTTGCAATACATTGCTGATAGTTTGGGGGGGGGCGGAGGGAAGCAAGCCGGCACTGTTGATCCATTTGGTTTCCCTTGCTCCCAAGTGGCACTTGAGAAACACATGTTCACAGTATGTCAGGCACAGTTCGAAAGGACAAGAGGACCTTAACCCTAGGAAGAAAAAGACCAATGTCCACAGGCAACTCTCTGCGATTTAAATATTCTCTCCAACTACTTTTGGTTGCTTGGAGCTGAAGCCAGCTTGAGAATGCATTGGGGGGAGAAGAGCGGGAATTGGAGAGGCCACACCAAAAGAGGCACAGTTGCTTGCTGCCAAGCAGCTGCAGCACAGAGACAGCAAGGCAGTTGTTAAGGCAAATGACATAGGAAGCAGGCTTGTGCGCACATGGAAAGTCTCCTAGTTTCTAAAAGATTCATTCCCCAACTCACTGTCACCATCCAAGGGGGACGAAGGGCTGTCATGTTATAATGATGGAACTTAAGAGTGAATCCTGAGTGGGAAGTTACGCCTTCAGCGTTCTCGTGAGGTAAAACCACCAGGGGACGAACATCAGAATCCTCCCATCTTCCAGGCAATCATTCACACTGAAAGACAGTGGAAGAACTGGGCTGAGGAGAGGCACTCTACTGACCTGGCAGCCTCCTAACAGGGTGCCGTTTAAGGCAATGGAAGTCACTTCCTTCACCCACCTGGCCCAAAGAAACAGATCAAAGCTGGAGTGCAGAGACGCTTTATCTTTTGAGCAAATAAGGGAGTGTGGCATTGGTGGGACTGGCTAGCTTTGTCCTCACTAATGCTATGTGCTACTAGTGTTGGGGGAGGAAGGTTTGTTCTCAGTCCAGGGGTCTCACCTTTCATCAGAGGCAAAACACAACTGCAAGACAGAATGTTAAAACACACACACGCACACACACAGGAGGAAGGGTTTCTCAAAGCCAGCAGGGCAATGAGGCCCAGAACCAGAGATTGTGAAGCAAAGGTAACTTCACAAAACAGGCAAGGAAAGCAGCAACTTCAAAACAACCCAGAAAGATCCTGTATCAGAAGATCAGGCAAGAACAGAAACATCTGAAGGGTGTAGAGGCGGCCATCCTGACTCCCAGCCAAGAGATGAGAAGTCTCCACATATTTTCGCCTGGGGGCTGCGTAAGAAGCACTGCCAAGAATATGTAAAAGCAAGTGAGGAGGATGTACCTTTTAAAGAATCCATCCAAAACATTTGGCATTGCCTTGGGGGGAAGGGAGGGGGGGAGGGAGGATTCCCCTAAAGGTTGGGGCGCAGTGCATAGCACTATTGGGAATGGGGTGGGGTTATTTTGGATGTCCCTGCTCTTGGTGGAAAGGCTAGAAGCTCTAGCATCCAGCCATACCCTGGTTGGAAACTGCTCTGGCATTGCACAGAAGGCAGCCAGGCAGGTTATTGCCTCCAAAGTGCTTGTATCTGCCTTGTGGCAGGGTGAATGGGGAGCAATTGCACTGTTCCCTTTCCCTCCTGGCCAATACTGAAGGCACAGAGTGAAAAAAAAAAGTAGTTTTCCCCAGCGGCCACAGCACTAGGAAAATGTTAGGGTGCCCTTAGTTGGCCGAGGCTGGTGTAGACATCTTCTGCTCCACTCAACTCCTCAAACACAGGAATCAGGTTCAGCAGCTCAGTGTCTGTCATATCATCAAACCAAGACTGGACCGGCACCTACAGGGCAGTCAGAGAGAGATAAAGAGAGGTCAATCGGAAGCAAGCAGGCAGGGAACAAGGCATTATATTTTGAAAAAGTAAAACAACCCTGGCAAAACTAGGATCTGGGGAGTAGCATTAAAATGTTAACAGCAATTATTTAACTCTTGGCTGCACCCCTTTTGGCCCCTGCTGGATCAGGCCAAGGCTAGTTTCTCACAGTGATCAACAGATGCTCTAGTAAGCTAAAGATGGAAATATAAATCTCCCTGCTATTTTTCCCCTGTAATGGGCATTTGGGAGCATATTGTTCCCAAGTTGTTGGAAGGCCATGTGGAGATTTTTAAGACCCATTGCCCTTGAGAGACCTGTCTTTCAGGAATTTAGCCCAGCCTTTCAAAGGCTATCCAAGTTAGTGCCTATTAGCATATATTGTGTTAATGAGTTCCACTACTTCCTGTATGGATTGTGTGAATAGGTGGGGTGTGTGTGTTCTGTTTTAATTTTCCATGCAATCCAGCTCTGATGGATGGCCTCGGGTCCTAGTATTTTGAGATGGGAAGGCGGGGGGGGGGGGATCCCTGTCTACTTAGAAGTGTAGCGATGGGAGTTTTCCTACACTGGAGAGTGAAATATGTGAACTGCTTGAAACTGGTTTTAAGAAAAGGGAAAATATTTCAAATATTAAAGAGGGAAACAGAGTGGCATGTTATTGGGATGAGGCCACTTTAAAAGGCAAGAAGTTAGATAGGGGCTATAGGAACATCAGTCAACCAGAGGGAATTAGCTGAATTCTTTCTGGTTATAACCTTGGTGTGTAGGACAGCATTCAGTAAACTGGGAAAGGCGGAAGAGGGAGTTGAGAGAATTTCTCAGCCATCTCTACAGGAAGATGAAAAAGTCTTGCAATGATAAGGCGAAAAAAAAAAAAAGATCAGCATCTGCCTCCATACTGTTCCTATAAATCTCTGGCTAAGGATCTGAGAAGACACACGTCTCCCCTTTCTGTCACTAAAGAGGGAATGCCACTCCCAAAGCAGACCATCTGTCATTTGTCTTTGGCTCAAGAATGCAAATGTCACAAGAAACATCAAGGGTTTAGAAGCTAGGGAACAACTCTTGAAGGTGCTATTTTTTTTTTAAGTTCTTCCCCAAAACCAGATTAAAATGTTTTTTTTTAAGCCAAGTGATCTATCAAAATCAGAACTACAAATTAATTCACAATAATCTCACTCCTTAGCCATCATTTATGGAAGGTTAGAGAGTAAAAAGCTCACCGCGTTCTCTGGATGGAAGATGTAGGAAGCTGGAGAATTGTCCAGGATCAGGGTTTTGCGCAGATCACGGCCCAACCGGCTGAGATCCTTCACGTAACATCCCTGGTGGAATACGCACGACTCCCGGAAGAGGCGGGTCCGGAAGACTCCACACTTGTCCAGAAGGTCCGTCACTGGGTCAGCATACTAGCCAGAAGAAAGAAAGAAAGAAATAAAGGGACTGCTTTGTGCGTAGAATGACAATGAAAGGACTCAGCAATCAAGATAATCTGAATACTATGGCTCTGTGACCAGGTCCCATAAAAGCAGAATTTGTTACTTGGCACTGATTCTTTTAAGTGAAATTTTGTGGTATTGGCTATCCTTTCCTTTCCTTCTTTCTTTTATTTCTCTCTCTCTCTCTCTCCATAACTATCTATCTATCTATCCGGCCAGTAAGATCCCACAGACTGGGCCGCCTTCAGATGCCGTCAGCCAGACAGTGTCGGCTGTCGGACACCCGGAGGAGAGCCTTCTCTGTGGCTGCTCCGACCCTTTGGAATCAGCTACCCCCAGAGATCCAGACCTTACCCACTCTCATGGCCTTCAGGAAAGCTGTTGAAACCTGGCTGTTCCAGCAGGCCTGGGGCTGCTAACCTTATTGTTAAGGTACAGCCCCGATTAGAACAAATGCGTGTCTTGTGAATTTTTAAACTATCCTTTTTTTAAATTTTCCTTTTCTTTTTTTCTTTCCTCTC